CTATCCTCCTCGAGCAGGTGGTGTAGTTGTGTGTGCGAGGTCACGGTGCAAGAGAGGAAGAGAGATGAGAGGGTTTCAAAAGAGGGAGAGAATGGAGAGAGCAGAGAAAGAGAGCTGGAAGTGAGAGAGAGGAAATAGGGGTCACGAAGTAGGGGAGAGAGAGAGAAACGTGAGGGGTGTTGGGGTGCTGCCACATGGCAGCTTGAGGATGGGAACAAATCTCATTTTCAAATCCTGATTGGGTGAAAAGCCAAGGGTTTTAAATAATTAAATCCAATAATTTCTCGGGGAAAAACCTAATTACATATAAGTAGGGGTGGGGTGTAACACATTAACTATTAAAAAATAATCAAAAATAGTTTTAGTTTGTATTCTATTGGTTGTTAATGGGATCCATGCATTAAAAAAATTAAATTAAATATATTTGACTCATTCTTTCTTTGCTGTCAAAAAATGCAGCTAGAAAGCAAGGAGTCAAATGATTCACATGCCACATCATATATAGCATATCCATTGGAGAACACGTGAATGTCTTTTAATCATATTTGGCATATTTGACATCTCCTTTAGAGATGGTCTAAGGTTTTAGAGATTTGATCAAACTACTTTTATACAATTTTAATTAATTTAAAAATTATTTTAAATTACACAAATTGTTATTATAATTAATTTACTAATTATATTCAATATATAACAAATTCCTAAAATCTTGTAAAAGAAGATATTATTAATTTGTGTCTCATCAATTCAATATATTTCAAAAGAAATTTTTTTTTCTATAATAGGAAAAAACAAGGTTGAATTATGTGTGCAAATGTACCCCTAACGGTGATATTTTAGACGTATCAATGTACTCCAAATGATGTTACATACCTAATATGTATATATATATATATATATAGTTAGATCTCACATTGCCCAGGGGTGAGGATCTTCTATGCTACATATATGTACATGCCCACCTCCTATAACACGAGGCATTTTGGGAGCTCATTGGCTTCAGGTTCTGTAGGAACTCCGAAGTTAAGCGAGAAAGGGGCCAGAGCATTCCCAGGATGAGTGACCCGCTAGAAAGTTCTGCTCGCGTGAGTTCCTAGAAACGAAACCGTGAGGGCGTGGTCGGGGCCCAAAGCAGACAATATCGTGCTACGGTGGAGCGGATGTGGTGGAGCTCGGGTTGGGATGTAACAATTTGGTATCAGAGCCACTCTCTGGCTGGAAGTGTGCCCACAAGGACGTCGGGCCCCCCTAAGGGGGTGGATTGTTAGATCCCAAATCCCTCAGAGGTGATGATCATATATGCCTTATATGTACATGCTCACCTCCTATAGCATGAGGCATTTTGGGAGCTCACTGGCTTCGGGTTTCGTAGGAACTCCGAAGTTAAGCGAGAAATGGGCCAAAGCATTCCGAGGATAGGTGACCCATTGGGAAGTTCTGCTCGCGTGAGTTCCTAGAAACAAAACCGTAGGGCGTGGTCGATGACACACCCTGATCCTAGAATCAAGGCATGACGGCCAGCACGCCTTGATTCTAGGATCGGGGATCGGGGTGTGTCAGTTGGGGCCCAAAGAGGACAATATCGTGCTACGAAGAAATTGAGCCCGGTATGTGGAGCCCGGGTTGGGATGTGATATATATATATATATATATATATATATATATATATATATTTTCTTGCCTAAATAAATTAAAAAACAGTGTACCAATATTTTGGTACATTGCTGGTACGTTATTGTTACATTACTATTACGTTAGATAATCTAAATTTGTGTACAAATTAGTATTTTAATATTTTATTTATTTATTTAGATACGTAACAAGCTACTAGTACGTTTATACTATCATAATTTTGGTATGTAAACTGCTAACGGCAAGTTATGTGTAACTCTAAAACCTATCAGTATGTTTCAATTTGGTATGGGTACATTTCAGTTCGGCATGTGTATATTTCAATTTAGTAAGCATACATTTTAATCCGGTATGAATACATTTTAATTTAGCATAGGTACGTTTCAATTTGAGAATAAATTGTGTTGATACGAATAGCAATGATACATTTCAATTGATATACTTGAATTTCTTGAGACAAAAATGAAGAATGAGAAATAATCATTAACGACAATAGTTGCAGTAATGAAGAAAAAAGTTACAAACAATTTTTGTATAAAACAAAGTTACAAATAATTTAGCCACTTAGGTCAAGTAGTATTCATCTTCACTTGTAATTGAGAGGTCTTAGGTTTGATTCTAGTGGTAAATTTGAACCACATTATTGTTAGCCCATTTGAGGCTTCCTCCATTAGTGTAGATAAAATCATTTGTCAAAAAAAAAAAAAAAAGATTTCAATTTTTGCCACTCAGTACTACTGTCTGGTGATATTCATCTTCACTTAAAAGTGAGAGGTCTTAGGTTCGAATCTCGTGAATGGCTGCCCATTATGTGGTTTTGCCGAACTTCCCCTCCCTTAGTATAAAAATATCGATATACTCAAAAAAAAAAGTTGCAAATAATTTAGATATATAATTGAATTCTTAAATTTAGGAAGGGTGGGTTTCCATAAAAATAGAAATAAATTAATTAATATTATTGATTGCATTTTTGACATAAGAATGAATTTGAAAAACACTTAAATTAAGAATATATCTGCAATATAGAGTTTAATCAAAAGTGAAAACACTTTAATATAAAGTTGAAAAGTAACAAATGTTTTATCTAAAAAAGTCTAAAATAAAGCATATGATTCTAATTTTCCTTAAAAAAAATATTTGTTTTTTCGAATTATTTTTTGAATGACGTGATAAGTAATGTGTACAAAACATGTTAAGTTAATTAGTGAGAGGTGAGTGGTTGGTTTCATGGCTATCTTTTTACTAATAATTGAGGGATTGATGAATGGATGGATAGATGGATGAAGGGATCGATGGATGGATTGGATCGATCGATTCATTGTGGTGGAGTGACATATTGTGTTGAAATAATAGGAGTAGAATTTTCTTCTCTTCTATTCTCATCTTCTTCCCTTTCTTCCTCTCACACATTGTTTTTTATCTTATTATCTTTATAAAAAAATCAATATATGATGTTGACATGGCTTAACCGTAATCGTTTAAATAAAAGAGAAGAGAAGGAAAGAGAGATTAGGAGGGGAGAGAATCCTCCGAAGTAATAAGACATAACAGAATAGTGATCATGATTGATCACATGGTCTGTTGTGGTGGATCGACCGTGAACGTCCTGGTCCCTCATGGCTACTACCTCTGGCTCTACCACCCCACACCCAACAAATTTTTCATTCCATCCCATACGAAACAAACAAGTTTCCGTATCAATTTGATTCCATTCGATCTTTACCATTGGTTTTGACTCTTTTGTGAGAAGAAAATTGGCTACTGTAGGCATATTGGATTTTGTACTGTTATCATAATGCTAATATACAGGATAAGGATTGTCTGCCCTCCAGTTCTGGTGCCCTCTTCGTGCCGTCCTGTTTGTGTGGTCACGGTTAAGCCACGTTAACATTTTATATTACTATTCATTTTTATCTTATTATATCTATAAAAAAAAATAATATAAAACGTTGACGTGACTTAACCGTGACCACACAAAACAAGAGGACACGAGGAGGGCACCGGAAGTGGAGGGCAGACAATCCTTGTCCTAATATACATTTGAGTGGAGTGGACTGCACCATTTTTAATCAAAATAACACCATGGATTGAACTGTTGGACTGTCCCTGTTCAAAATAAAATCACAAAAATGAAAAATGCATGTAAGTCAAGATGTTGAGAATGTATCCATGTCGATGAGAGGAAAGACTTTATATGGGTTTACAAGAGGTTTGACTACTCCCCATGTTACCAATTGATTTTATGGTGGAATCTTAATTTTCTTCATGGTATCACGACAAGTTGTTATATGTGTGAAGCCAAACAGACCTTGCATGGGCTTATAAGTAAGTTAGACTATTTCTCATATTGCCAATTGGTTTTATGATAGAACCTCAACTTTCTTCATTGTATTAGAAAAGGTTGGCTCACGTGTAAAGCCCAACCGCCACACATACTCAACGTCACATAATTCGTGTTTTCCACGTGTTTGGCTTGAAAATTCGTCACATGTGAGGGGCGTGTGAGAATGTGAAGGTAAAAGAATCTCACATTGATGAAAAGAGAAATCTTGCGAGAGCTTATAAGAGGTTGGACTACTCCCCCCACAACGAATTAGTTTTATGGTTGAATCTCAATTATCTTCATAGCCCAAACCCTATAACTTGGCACTTGGTAGTTGGTAGGCAGGGGCCTATTTTGGGCAAATGATGCTTTATTGCAATAATGACGAAAAACAATAATGTTTATGCATTCTAATGTAGATTTGATTCCCACGATGTTCTCTCTTATAACATTTAATAATTTAATCTAGTTGTGAAAAAAAAAAGGGGTTTAGCGAACTTGTGAAATTAACCATCTCATCCTCATCCCGAAGAAATGCCGACCATGTTTTTGTTGATTTTCATTTTCATGAACCGATCCACGACTAACTGATAGACACAGAGAATGCCAGTTAATAATAATCATCATCATGCCATTCTCGTTTTCTGAAGTTTCTCGCCGTCAATAATGTCTTTGTTCAAACCGTCCCCTCCGACATTTCGATGCTTCTTCTCAATCTCAAGTGAAACCAATTACTTTCAAACTGCTTCAACACTGTCGCCAGCCACTCTCCAAATCAATCAATCACGTATGCAGCTGCAACCGTGAGATATTAGCTCTAGGTCGCTGTGGCCAAGTCAAACAAGCAAGGAATCTGTTCGACCATATGCCTCAACCAGACGCTTTCCTTATGCTTCCATGATCACTGTTTACTTGAACAACCACCATCTTCCCGACGCAAAGACCCTCTTTCAGATGATACCCACGCCTAGTCTTGTTGCTCGATTTGCAATGATTCATGGCTATTTCAAAATCATTTAGATGAAGCAAACCATCTTTTCAATAATATGCCATACCGAACCTATACTCTTGGAACATCATGGTCTCAGGTTATCTTAATGCCAACAGAGTAAGCGAAGCCATTGAACTCTCCAATTCAATGCCTCCTAGGAACACCATGTCTTGGACAACTATGGTTACAGGTCTAGCACAAAACAATGTGGCTAGACTTGCAAGGGAGTACTTTGATCGCATGCCAAATAAAGATGTAGTTGCTTGGAATGCTATGATCACATATGTCGACGAGGGACTCGTGGCAGAAGCTAGTGAGCTTTTCTGTTTGATGCGGGAAAGAAATATCGTCACTTGGAATGTGATGATTGGTGGTTATGCCAAAAGCGGAGCCAAAGAGGAAGCCTTAAAGCACCTAATTTTCATGCTTCAGTTTTGCTTTAAGCCTAATGGAACAATCATGACTAGCGTATTGAGCTCAAGTGAGGGGATGATGGAGCTCATGCAAGCTCATCTACTGGTCATATGTCATGGTAACACATTAGTTGCGAATGTTCTTATTGATATGTATGCCAGAAATGGAGATGTTACCTCTGTTAGGCATGTGTTTGAGCATCTTGGGGATAATAAGGATGCGGTATCATGGGCTGCAATGATATTGGCATTCTCAAACCATGGATATGGTCACCATGCATTGCAGGTGTTTGTACAGATGCTGAGATCCGGAGCCAAGCCAGATGGTATTACTTTTGTTGGAGTCTTATCTATGTTGGAAAAATTGGGTCTAATAGCTATAATAAATCACTTAGAAAATCAAGAAATAATTCATGCAATTTTATATCACAATAATGCATGCATATGAGTAGCCAATGTTAAATAAATATGATATAATGGATTAAAAAAACCTAGAAAATATGGTCGAGGCAAGTGTTGGACACTTTGTCCTTAAGACAAGTTTACGCCCCACTACGGTGCTCATGGTTGATCGATGCATGTCTCCCAAGATACAACGACCACGTCCTTGTAATAGTAGCACTCCAAATCACAAGGTTCCATGAACTACGATTGTGTTGAAAACTCTCTCATATGGACTCAATGAGACTCTCTAATATTTAGTGCACTCTATGTATGATTATGTAAACAATGAAAAGTTTTCTTGTGATTATAGGGGGCTTCCCTATTTATAAAATGTGATAGACCTCTTTGGAAAGTATGTGACTATTCATGAAGAGTCAAAAGTTGCAACTCTTCATTTGAGTAAACACATATTTCTATCAAAAGGCTCCACTTCTAATTTCCATTCAATTAATAAATTTAATATAATAATAATATTATTAAAATTTCCAACAATCCTCCACATGAATGGAAATTGACTCAATACCATGCAAATGACAATGCAGACACTAGAGAGAGAATTCAGTAAGAAAAGTACCACATCGGGATAGGTGGCTTTTGGCTTTGAACATTTCATAGTGTATTACTATCGGATTTATTTGGCTAATCAATGAACGCGATGTCTTGAACTGCTAAGCCATTTGTGTAAACCAAGACAATAGTAATCACACAATACCCTTCCAGACACCCCCGTGGTTGCTCAGTTGTGTTCATTTTGGCCCTGAACAATTCTTGGTTTCTCATGAGTGCTTTTAGAGAACTAAGCCCTTCAAAAAATTCTCACAAGAACGGCCTGTTGGAAATATGCCCTGATTACTTTCAGGACAATGAATGTGTGTATAGATGACTCTTATACATCAAAAGGCAAAGATACTAATTAGGACTATCTCAATAAACGATATATGTCCTAAATAGTGAATCCATGGACAATGGATCGATGGAAGAAGTAATCTAATGATGTTAGACTACAGAGACCTTCTTCACATAACCATCATGTCAAAAAAGGTTACTGGTCATATGATTGTCAGAGGGGATACTGACAATGCAAAGACCAGTACATACTATGTCCCCTTCAATTGGAAGGATGGAAAGTTTCATCCCATTCGTGTAATGACACTAAGACAGGTATGTAGGTGCTCATTAAGGGAATGAGTTCACTGAACACAATCGAACGAGAGTACTTGCATGGAGGTCTACTCACATGTCAAGCAAGTAACTCTAATGGTTGGAATAATGTAAGTAGTCCTTTGACCTGAGACATCAGTTGTCTTGTGGTTAGGTCCTTGATCTTTGATTATGTCAAAGTCATTCCATCCGCGGGTGTCCACGGCATAGTTGGGGTTAAGCCACTTAGCCATGGAGGCAAGTGAATGCGCAACAAGGGATCTCTAATCCTCGTTATGAGAGGTTGAATACTCTAAGATATGATTCGGGAATCTTCAGCCGAAGTATCGAGCGTAATAAAGGAAAGCGTTCCTATACAACTCAATTGAATCATATAACATGGAATAATCACATTAGGGGTTTGACATAATATATTCATACCCTAATAGTGTGATTGAGAGTATTGTTTTAGAGAATGATCGAATTACATTGTAATTCCAACTGAATAGGTTCTCCGAACAAATTCTACATTAGCTTGGGTAGCCATGATATATGGTTAGATGTCACTCATGGCTTGTGAGTTCTTCTAGATGATTAAATAAGTAGTCGTCAAAGAAGAAGGAGAATTAAAAGTAAGTTTTAATTCACTAAGTGATTGGATTAAATATAATCAATTGGATTAGTGCCAATCACCTCACTGCCTTGCTAATTAGAACCTAAAATGATTGTACACCGATACACTCTTGTAGTGAGACAACTAATGGATGATGGAAATAATTAATTGAATTAATTAAGTGTTGTGATTAATTAGAAAGTTTAAAGAAATCATAAAAGCGATAAAAGATCGTTTTGGGCTTAAAGAAAAGTTCGGGTTCATTTGGGCCCATTGAGCCTAAACCCATTGGGCTTTTATTCAAGCATAGGATGACTTAAGATGATAAAAGCCCAAAGTCCAAAACAAAACACAAAGGGCCGGCCAAAGAGAGGGAGAGAGAAAGTCAAGTTGTTGACTTGTTTCTTTGTGTTATAAAAGGAACTTTATAGTGAAAAGTTTCATAAGGGTTTTTGTGTGTTGATTTAACAAAAGGAGAAAACATATCTCTCTCTCTCAAACACAATAGGCCGGCCACCAAAGGGGAGACTTAGCTAATCATCTTATCTCCCTTTGGTTATTCCTCCATCCATCTCACTACACTAGTGGGTGTGGATCTTTAGAGGTCTTCAATCTTGGAGACTAAAGGAGAACCAAGGAGCACTCATTCTAGCAAAGTGGAGGAAGCAAGGAGGGAGGCTAGGCTCAAGGAGTTCCAACAACAAAGGGCTTGGAGGTGGTCTATCATTGGTCTCAAGTCTAGATCAAGAAGTATAAATCTACTCCTACACTTTGTTCTTCAATAAAATGCTTTGATGCATCTTATATATACCTATGCTTCTTAAAGGGGATTTGCATGACTATAACTTTGATATTATGTGATAACATGCTTCCGTTGCGTATGTATATGAATTTTGAATTGTATATGCATGCTAGTCACTAGAAATCCCACATAAATCTCATTATTTCCCTTCACGGCCACATTCCTCACTCAAGATAGATGACTTCCCATTAAGAGTATCCTGCAATACCCCACTTGGTATTTCCAAGTATAGGAATCATTAAAAATAAAGCTTATCCAAAATACACTGCAGATAGCACTGTTTCATCATAAGACATGGGTAGGAGGTAATCTCTGCAGTGTTCCCATTGAATCATCCACAATTTGGTTGTCCCTTTGAACCTAGATCTTGGGATCTCCAGTCAGCTAGGTTGGGTTGCCATTATGGCAATTCTTATGACGTAGGCTTTTAACCCATTCCCCTTGATGGTACAACTTACTTTCTAGTCAAATCTTTAATTAATTGGATCTACTAGGTTGATGACTATCAATTAAAGTGCACACTTCCATTTATGAAATTATATTTCATTTGAGAGTAGTTGTTTTCCAACATTAAGTCCTTCAAAACATATGTTAGGACTTAAAAAGTAATTTGCTAATACTTGGGTACATTCCCCCACATTTAAGGTATTTATTGAGAAGTCTATAACCTTTCAATACCTTAAAATACCATTGCAAGAGATAATCTTTATCTCTTTCTAGAAGCAAATTACCTTTTCATTCTACTTAAGTTGATATATAATCAAAAGATAACTATGTCACTCCCCCACAATTCACTCACATTGTGGTTATTTTTTAATAATAATTGAATGGAAATTAGAAGTGGAACCTTTTGGTAGAAAGATGTGTCTACTCAAATGAAGAGTTGCAACTTTTAACTCTTCATGAATAGTCACATGTTTTCCAAAGAGGTCTATCACATTCTATAAATAGGAAAGCCTCCTATAATCACAAGAAAACTTTTCATTGTTTACATAATCATACATAGAGTGCACTAAACATTAGAGAGTCTCATTGAGTCCATATGAGAGAGTTTTCAACACAATCGTGGTTCATGGAACCTTGTGATTTGGAGTGCTACTATTACAAGGACGTGGTCGTTGTATCTTGGGAGATATACGTCGATCAACCATGAGCACCATAGTGGGGCGTAAACTTGCCTTAAGGACAAAGTGTCCAACACTTGCCTCGACCATATTTTCTAGGTTTTTCTAATTCATTATATCATGTTCATTTAACATTGGTTACTCATATGCATGCATTATTATGATATATAATTGCATGAATTATTTCTTGATTTTCTATGTGATTTATTATAGCAATTAGACCCAATTTTTCCAACAATCTACTTGTACATGTCATGCTGGTCTTGTCCAATAGGGTAAAGGGCTTTTCAATTCAATAATCGAGCTTATGGTTTGGAACCAAATGCACAACACTATTCCTGCATTGTCAACATTTTAGGCTGAGCAGGATTAGTGGATGAGGCTGCGCAGGTGGAGGTGGTATGCAGAATGCCAGCTTGCAAGCAGGATGCTGCTGTTCTAGGGGCATTGCTCGGTGCACATAAGTTGCGTGGAGACGTTACAATGGCAAATTGCATAGGAAAGCGGCTGGTGGAGTTAGAGCCAGCCAGCTCTGGGGCGTGTTAGTCTTAGCTAACATGTATGCTGCACATGGGAAGTGGGAGGAATTTGCTCCAGAATGAAGATGAAGGAGAGGAAAATGAAGAAAGTTTGGGGCTTTAGTCAAATAGAAATTAAGGGCAGGACTCATACTTTCTTTGCTGGGGATAGATGTCATCCTCAGGCTGCTCAGATTTGTGAACTGCTACCACAAATATTGGAGATGGGATACTCAAAGGGGCCGGAAGTCGATCGTATCTTTCTTTCTTGTAGATAATAATGAGTGACTAATAACATTCAACAATTCATATGAATATGAAAGTTGCTATATTATTTGCTCCCAGACCTGAGTCACATAGTGATCCCCTCTCCCAAACTTGTCCCAATGAAATTTCAACTCAATTAGGTGACTTATTTCCTATAAAAGGAAAACTGAAAAACATTTGCTAAACGACTATCAAACAACTTTTATTTGAAAACTAAAATAGTTATTCTGCATCTGTGTGAGCTACAATACGAACGGTTTGTTAACAGATTGAGGTGAGAAATGGTCGAAGAGAGTTGAAGGTTTGAGATTGGATTTTCTGTCTTAATTTGTTCAAATCATGGGGTTATAAAACAAATACTTCGAAAAGATTCTTCACCTGCCAATTGCTAATGTATCGGGGAGATATTTTTCAAATCTAGTAAATCATTTTGCTCATTTCTTGGCAACAATGATAAGTATTGAGACATATGTAACTATATAGACAAAAAGAGAGACAAAAATAAAATTAGATGACCTAGATGTCGTGCCGTCCGTCTCTCTCCTAATTAATCAATTTAAAATTTAAATAATCAAATTATGATAGGACGAATGGAATTGATCGGGTCAGATACAAGGTTGCGGGGTAGGGTAGCGTTAGCAAATGAATAATAATTGAGTACTCACTTTTTGATTTGGTCTAAAAAAAAATGTCACACGTTTTTTTTTTTTTTTTTTAACTGAAGAAAAATAAATAACATGTCTATTATTTTTAAAACAATATAACATGTGTGACATATCGTTAAAATTGAACATTCACTAGTGAATACTCAAGTATTATCCTTAGCAAATAGCAAAGCTGGTGAGGACACTGAGAGGAGGAGGAGGAGGAGGACAACAGCAACCTTTAAATTGGCCTTTTGCTTCTTTTCATGTGCAAGAAAGAAGAGCAAGAGAAGGCTTTCCAATGGGCCATGGGGGGCATTTGTAATTTGGCATGTCTCTCACAAAAAAGGGAGAGATTCCCTCTTCCCTTCCCCTCCCTCTCAAGTCATTAAGTTCTCACTGACTGACTCAATTAGTCATTTCCAATTTAAAGTAAAATAGCTTTGAATATAGAATATGGAATATGGAATGCAGTGTGCAGATGCAAATAGAAGAGGAAGATAAACATTTTTGGCGCCAACCCCATCCACTTCCTTTTTTCTGTTCAGTCCAACTCCCAACTCCAACTCCAATCCATTCCCATCTATCCAGTTACTTTTGGTGTAGCCGCGTGCCATCATACTTGTTCTTTTTTACCAAGCTTTGAAATTCAAATCCAGACCAACGGTCTCTTTCTCCTCTTTTTACAAAAATTGTGGTCCGTCCGATGTCTTTTTCTCCTTTTCTCTCTCTCTCCTATCTTTTTCTCTTTAATTTGCTTTTCCTTATTTTTTTTCTTTAATTGCACCTAAATATTTTGTGATGATACTCTCACACATGCCACAATATGCATTTAGTAAGATGCAAGTCAGAAGAAATTATCAATCTGACTAATAGTGAGGCCATTCACTCATCTCTCAATAATTTTGACATAATATTAAAACGGGTTGTTTGACTAGGCCCAAATTGCCTTGTGTGAATTAACGAGTATACTACTTTGCCTTGCTTCTAAACTGGAATGACTAATGTGAAATCGGTTGCATGTGTGATACACCATGTGGTGGTCTTAATCGTGCGTGTTGAAAGGTACAAGAATCCACTGTCGGAAATTAGTTATACTAAAATTGATGTATGTTGAGTGGTTCCACATGGAATTACATCTTAAACGTATTTTGCAATAAAACCTTGTAAATGTCATGTTCATGTTGTGCATATGTTAAGATACTAATTGAGGAACAATATTGGTGTAATAAGTAGAGAATCGTTGACTTACTTTCTCTTAGAAAATTTGACACAATGTTATGACTTGTTATTCAAGCTAATAATGATGAGAATTTCATCTTCTACCTTCAAATTAAATATTAGATACAATTTCTTTCATTTGTTCTTAATAAGTTATATATCTCAATATAATTTTAAACACCAAGCAGTGCCACTGTGCCACAAAGCATAAACCGGCGAGAGAAAAGAAAAGATAAAGAGAAATAGGCGTTGTAGAAAAGAAAAGGGAAGAAATGATAAAGGTCGTTTGTGGGAGTATTTAATTGGTAAAGTGGTAGTACATCATTATAAAGCGCATATATATATACACACACAATATATAATATATAATATATATAGATGGGTGGGTTAAGGAGGTTGAGCGAGGACCGGCCGAGTGGGATAAATTGACAATAATTTAATTTTATGATGGGAGAAACGGGAACATCAACCATTAGGATTAGAATTTGAATTGGATGGAGTAGTTTGTATTTTGTAGTGGAGGCTGGACGAGAGGTGGGACAAATTTTGCTCAAGCGTGCAGAAAGCCTTGTCTGTTTGCGCTGAGTCTGCTCTGCTCCTTCAATTTCAACAAGCAGGTGCAGCCGTGCAGGTCCAGGTCAGTCAGGTTGTTGAACTTTGAAGGAAGGGAATCTCAACAACAAGAAAGAGGAATCAAGAGGATACCACCATCCATTACCCATAGGCAGACTTCTCTGTATTACTAGAGAGAGAGAGAGAGAAAGAAAGAGAGACGGATGGGAGGAGGAGGAGGGGCATCATCAAAACTGAGAAAAGCAGCAAAGAAAATGGCGGTGGCTGCTGCAAATGCATGTGGTGGTTCCTTTTCCCGCAGGAAGACCATCGTCTCCGATCATACCAACACTACCACTCCCACTGTAACTCTTACTTCCCCCTCCCACCCCAATTCAACTATTTATTATGCAAATCCACCCCTCTTTCCCCCCTTGTTTTTATCATTTATTTTACTCGGGTTTTCTTCTGCAATTGTATATTACCCTGTTTTAAGAATCACTTGTGTTTTCTTTGTTTTCACAGATCTCAGGTTCTTCAGCCGTGTCTCCAACAAACCCAACGAATGTCCAACCAGCAACAGCAGCAGCAAAAGAAGAAGAAGTTTCCAAAGAAAGGGAAATGACAATCAATTATAGCAATGTGCCTTATGCTAAGGTGAAAGTTGCACCCTGCCTCATCAATGATGATAATCTTACAAATTTAGAGTTTCATGTCAATCCATTTTTCATCGAGTTTACACTAGTTTTGTGGTAAACTTTTGGTGCATAATCTTCAAAATAACCGATCCAAAGATTGAATCCACTCTAAGCATAATAATTGTTGTGATTTTTAGTAATGACACGAATGAACAGCTTTCGTTGTAAGCCTCTTGCCAAAATGTTTTTTGTAAGTTAAAAGAACAAATAAGTAGGTTGCCAAAAAAAACAAGAACAATAAGTAGGTTTCCAAATAAGTAGCAGCACTTGATTGTTGCACCAGATCATTATATCTTACTCTTAATACAGTGATCTTATCATCTTATTACATAACTTTTGACCAGATGGCTATTGTTTGAGGATTTAGTCAGATTTATGAGGAGTTCCGTGTCCCTCCTTAAAATATCAGTATCATATTAGAACTACTGGTTTCTTCAATGCACGAGTAACAATTATTCTAATTTCGTATTAATATCCAGACCTAGACTGGCTAGAATGCAGTTCCAATCATTTTGAGCTCGTCACGGCATTATGTTTTCTTAGTTCCAGATCTGTCTCCTTACCTTTTTATTTGTTGATTCTTATGGCAGAGTTTGTGCGCAATATGTCTAGACCCTCTGAGTTACCATAGCAAGGGGAGCAGCCCAGGGCAGGCTATATTCACGGCCCAGTGCTCCCATGCTTTCCACTTTTCCTGCATCTCCTCCAATGTTCGCCATGGTAGTGTTACCTGCCCCATTTGCCGAGCCCATTGGACCCAGCTGCCCCGCAATCTGAACCCACCTTGGGGTTCCCTGTCTTCTTGCAACCGAGCTGACCCTATCTTCCAAATCCTGGATGACTCTATTGCCACTTTCCGCATCCACAGGCGCTCATTCTTGCGCTCTGCTCACTATGATGATGACGACCCAATTGAGCCCGATCACGTCTCTAGTTTCCCCCGTCTCCAATTCTCTTTGATACCCATCCCACATAGTGCACCCCCTAGTTTGTTTACTCCATATTCATACCATCCGCCCCCACATCACCTAAGCTGTAGCTCCTCATCATTGTTACAATCACCAACCAGGCCAAAGTCTTATACTATGTGTGCCTTCTCAGACAGAGCATACCTTTCTGTGAAATTAGCAAATCAACGAGCAACAGACTTGGTGTTGGTTGCTAGCCCCAATGGGCCGCACTTGAGGCTTCTCAAGCAGTGCATGGCATTGGTGGTTTTTTCCCTTAGACCAATTGATCGTTTGGCCATTGTTACCTACTCATCAGCTGCTGCTCGCGTCTTCCCTTTGAGACGCATGACATCTTATGGAAAGCGAACAGCCCAACAGGTTATTGATCGTCTGTTCTACATGGGGCAAGCAGATCCCGTGGAAGGGATCAAGAAGGGGATAAAGATACTTGAAGATCGTGCATACAAGAACCCAGAGTGTGGCATCCTGCATCTGTCTGACAGCCCAATGCGATCCTACCATGCTGCAATGGACATGGATGTGCCGATTCCAGTCCATCGCTTCCATGTAGGATTTGGATTTGGCACTTCGAATGGATATATCATGCATGAGTTTGAAGATTTGCTAAGAAGAATCCTAGGCGGCATGATTAGAGAAATTGAGTTGAGGATGAGAATAGGGGAGGAAGCCAGCAGAAGCAGTCGGATCGTGAGAATAGGAGAGCTAAGAGGAGGTGAAGAAAAGAAAATCTTGGTGGACTTGGGCGTGTGTGAACATATTTGTGTGGGATATAGCTACATTGAGGAGGGTGATGAGATGACAACAGGGGAAACAGTGGCGAAGGTAGGACTAGGAGATGATGTTGGTAAGAGTAGTAGTAGTAGTAGTAGTAATGCAACGGTTAGAGGAGGACGGGGAGGATTTGCTTGTGGTGCTGCATCAGGGACGAGTGGTGCAATCATCGGCGGGAGGTCTAGTACAAGTACTAGTAGTGTAGAAAGTTGGGACTACCATGACGCTTACATGGCTAGAAGATGGGCCAAGCATTTGCATGCCTACAGGCTTTGAATCAATTAATCCATTCTTGACATTTCACACTAGGTCTCGATGGATGGGCGTAGTATTGCATGCTTCATTTTGCTAGGAAGGAACCACACTATACTTTGTTATATTCAAACTTACAAATCAAATGTTTCATTTTATTTCTATCAACAACTGGGCTTGGACAACACTAATTACTAATTTACTTCGCAGGCAAGCACGCAAGCTGCACGGATGTATGTTTGTTTGTTTACAAGAGACACCTAAACCTAAAGTAACATAATGGTAGATTTTCTCATGGCACTAATATACCACGTCATAATCGTTTCTTAAATAAAATTTTAAATACGCGACAGGACACTTATTAGACAATAACACACTATTTCTATGGAAGAAAATTTGAAAAGAAATAGTGCAGAAACGGACAAATTTCTAAAAGGCGTGAAACTGTAGCCGCAGTAAGTAGTACGGCAGTCATCTTTTCACCTTTGCCTCTCCTTTTTATCTTTCATCATCCACAAAATTCCCCATTTCCAAAACCAGCACCCAGGTCCCAGCTAAGCAAGAGGGGAGAAAAACAACTCTGGTTGTGGAGATTGGGTTTTGAGAGAGGATTTGGATAGAGGGAGAGGGATAGGGAGGAAGATGTTTCCGGTACTGATGCACGAAGGAGGAGGCATGGTTGGTGAGGAAGATATGCAAATGCAAGGTCACAGTCACAGAGGAGGAGGAGATCCTTGCCTCGTCTTAACTTCCGACCCCAAACCCCGTCTTCGTTGGACAGCTGACCTTCACGAACGATTTGTCGATGCCGTCACTCAGCTCGGCGGTTCCTCCAGTCAGTCTTCCGTTTCCCACTTTTCTTTTAACTTACTTATTGTTATTATCATTTGATAGGGTTTTGATTGATGAACTCAGATCCCTTTCTTTCACCTATTCTTCTCTGCCTGTGCTGTGCGGCTATGCCTATAATATTATAAAATTGAATTGAATTGAATTGAAGCTTGTTTCAACAAGCAATTAATAAAGATTGAATTTGAGGCTTGAGCTGGTAGCCTGCTACATCTGTGTGAAGATTGAATTTGAGGCTTGAGCTAGTAGCCTGCTACATCTGTGTGTGTGTGTGTGTGTATGTATGTATGTTTGTATGTATAATTCAGTCACAAATTAGAATCGGATGGAGCTCATCAGAGCTGCTTTACTTTCTAAATTCTAAGTTGGCTGCTAGCCGTTGCCAATCTCTCGCGTCCTTGAATCTTCAACCCGTTTAGGATTATGATGAGAGCTTCAATTTATTTGCAGAAGCTACTCCAAAGGCCATTATGCGGACCATGAATGTCAAGGGCCTCACACTTTTTCATTTGAAGAGTCACCTGCAGGTTTCTTTTTGGACTTAAATCAATTATCACGGTGTTACCAAAGTTCAAACACTTGTACCAACTTATTGTTTTTTGCTGCATTGCAGAAATACAGACTAGGTAAGCAATCGGGCAAGGATATGGCCGACATATCCAAGGATGGTACGTTTTCTTATAACTGTCTCTTTGAGCCCATTCACATTTGGTGCTAGTTTAGTTCCCTAAAGTTTTGTTGGGTTTTTTTCACAATGGAATAGGTTCTTTACAGTATGAAATAAGGGAGGTGGACATATAGGCCCTTGACAAAACTTTAACTTCAACTTGTAGCAAACTTATCCTTACAACCAAGGACAAAACTTGTAGCAAACTTATCTTTACAACCAAGAACATTGATAAGCCAACTAAGTTTCCACTTATGTATTGTGAGACAACAATTCTTTTATGCCCTGAGAATTTTTTTACATGCAGCCTCATTGTAATACAAGAGAGCTCAACACAGAAAACTCAATTTAGTTATGAATTTGGGAGGTTGCACTAGCAATACTTGAACCCTCAATCTTCAACTACGGGACCTTTTTTGGTTGGTTCCTGTGTTCCCAAAAACTTAAAACTCTAAGGATGTAGTACAACCAATTTATTCCCCGACAATAAGTGCTCGCTCTTTCTTCCCGGCCTTGCTACCTCTTAGATAACCATACTTTATGGCTGCCTATTTTAAATCCCTCTAAAAGATGTATTTTGTGAGTGGAAACTTAAATTTTGTGTCTGACTTGTTTTGCCAATCATTATGAGGATTGTCAGCTTCCTACCTTCTAGAAAGCCCTGCTACTGGCAATACTTCACCAAATTTGCCAACTTCTGATTTGAATGAGTAAGAGAGTTTTCAACTTTTTTCTCAGAACCTTTTGATGCTTAATATAGGTCATTTTACATTAAATGTGTGGTTTTTCCAAAATGTCATCTTCAGGGGTTATGAAGTTAAGGAGGCATTGCGAGCACAGATGGAAGTGCAAAGTAAATTACATGTGCAGGTTGAGGTAATGTAGGTGAAATGCGTGTGCTTGTTTCTATTTTCCCATTTTGTAGATTTTTTTTTTTTTTGTGAGGAGGATAGTTAAGAATGTGTGTTTCAAAGTGGACCTTATTACCATAAGTTCATAACCTTTGGCTTTGCTTTCAAGATGGAAGGCACAATTGCAATGTATAAAGTTCTTTTTGCAATTTATTTAGCTATCTTGTGGCGTTGCTTTTGGTATAGTATTGCTCTTGATATAATTCATGAAAGTTTAAATGCCAAATTAGCATCTACCAGGAAGTAAGAACTTGTTGCCTTTGTTATTGTAGGCTGAGAAGCACTTGCAGATTCGCCAGGATGCAGAGCGAAGATATATGGCCATGCTTGAGAGAGCTTGTAAGATGCTTGCTGATCAATTCATTGGAGGTTCAGTTACTGATACAGATGGCCATAAATGCCATGAATCGGGGAATAAGAACCTAAAAGGTACTTCCCTTGACAAGCTTGGCTTCTACTCGTCGCAATCCACAGATGCAGTTGGGGTTCATGGTATAGGTGAAGAGCTGCCAATTTGTATCCATACCCAGAGAGCTGATTGCTCCACTGAAAGCTGCCTCACGTCACATGAGAGTCCTGGAGGACTGACCTTGGAAGGATCTCCAGGTGGCGGAAAAAAAAGAATGTTGAGCTTGGACACCGGCAATGGATCTTTAATTTGGGGCGAAGCCAAGGTGAGAACCCAAGAGATTAGTGTAGCCCCAATTGATCCTCCTCATGGTATTGCTAGGTATGGCATGTAGGGCTGAATTTGAGCATGAACGTAGTGACGTCGTTTTGTTCACTCTGCGTTACAATATTTTCTTGCCCATTTGGTTGGCTGGACATGAAAGTGAAAACAAGTTGTCTCAACCCCCAAACTGTAAATTCAACATACTGGTGGCTTAAATATAATGCACAACGAATTGCTTCGCAAATATAATATTTGCAAAATATTTGTTACGGGTGAAAGAAACTAAATTATGAATGCTTGTGGTTGAGACTTGAGAATTCTGTGGTGTAGCGCCTCGTTTAGTGTCAGGGTTGGATTGAATAGGAAAACTTGCTGGATTCAATAAATGTTGAATGAAGAAATGAATGTTTGCGTGTTTTGTTGTCCAACAAATGAATGCTAGCTTTTGTATACCGGATTATTATTGTTTTTTTTTTTAATTACAAATGATATTACTCATCAAATCTAGACTACAAGTGGAGGGAGAATTTGACCCCGTGACAAGGTAGGTTGAAGAGGAAGATCTTAATCACTAGGGTAATCCACCATTTGTGCATTCTTTTTATTCTTTTTATTTTTATTTTTAACAAACGATATTATCACCACTTGTGCATTCATAAATACAATATCTTTCAAATTAAATAGGGTTTTTATTACAAATGGTCCTTGAAATTGACCATCACAATCTAGATGGTCATTGAAATTGAAAATCAATCAATGTAGTCCCTGAAAATAGGTGTTGCAAATTAATGTGGTCCTTCCGTTACAATTTTGTTAAAAATTTTGTTAATGATGTGGCACATAAATGGGTCTTATAAGTCTTTTATTTCTTACAAATGGTCATTGAAATTGACCCATGACATCAACATGGTTCCTGAAATTGACATACGACATCAAAATAGTTCCTAAAATTGAAAATCGATCAATGTAGTTTTGCAAGTAAGTGTGCCAAATCAATGTAGCATTTCCGTAACAATTATGTCAAAAATTTTGTTATGTGCTGATGTGACATATAAATGGATCACACAAGTCTAATTAAATTAAAAAATTACAAATAAGTTTAATAATTTAATAGTTAATAAAAAGTTGTGAATCAAAAAATCCAGTTTTGCAATCACCTCCGATCCCAGTCCACATTCCTCTACCTCATTCGCTATCTATTCTCTAAAAGAAATCTCAAAACACCCATCTTTACACGTTCGACACCCTTCACCGAATTGAACTTGGATCGAGATCACCTTTGGTGACGAGTTGGCTGATTGACAACAACTTTTAGGACATCATCGTTAACATTTATGCGATCAACACCCTCACAACCTTAATCTTGGACAACTTGTTCAGCGCTTCCCTAGTGATATAGTGACTCAAAGAATGGTAAGGTATGCCTTAAGATAATGAGGTTATAACCGAGGTGTGTCTATTGTTGGTTGAAAACTATTTCCAAACCCCCTCTTAAGCCTTGTGCCTTTGAGAATTTATGGAAGGGATCTCTCTTCGGAGTAGGTCCTACTATAAAAAATAAAAAAAAATCTATCGTAAAAAAAGGTGTTTAGACAACTTTTTTTAATTAATTATTAAACACACATCAGCACATAACAATTTTTTTTACTGAATTGTAGTGGAAGAATTATGTTGATTTGCGACACCTATTTTCAAGGACTACATTCATCGATTTTCAATTTTAGGGACCATCTTGATGGTGTAGGTTAATTTTAGGGACCATCTTGATGGTGCGAGTCAATTTCAAGGATCATTTGTGATAAAAACCCATAAATCTTGTAGGGCCCATTTATGTGTCACATCAGCACTTAACGAAATTTTTAACAGAATTATGGCCGAATGACCACATTGATTTGCGACACCTATTTTCAGGAATTACATTGATTAATTTTCAATTTCAGGGACCATCTTGATGATAATAGTAAATTTCAGAGACCATTTATGATAAAAACCCAATTAAATATAGGGAACTTTAACGAAAACCACCCGATACTGTTCACTTTAACGAAAAACCACATTTTTACACTAAAAAGTCAATCCTGGTACTATTCACTTTACCCTTTATTTTATCCTTATCATTAAAACTCAAAGTTTTCAATCCCTTTTCATTAGTTTTCCTTTAAATATAACTAGAAAATTCATTAAATTAGTATTTGAATTTAATATTATGTGTGGGGCATTGGTCCTTCGGACAATTATGTGAGAATTATCGTCAAAACTAAGCACAAGAAACGCACATAGTAGCTCTAAGAAATAAATCGAGACACTTCACGTATTTATTTATTTTTTTTAAATTCTTGAAATGAGCGTCATTGGTCCTTCGGACAATTATGTGAGAATTATCGTCAAAACTAAGCATAAAAAACGCACATAGTAGCTCTAAGAAATAAATCGAGACACTTCACGTATTTATTTTTTATAAAAAATTTCTTGAAATGAGCGTCATTTACCAGTGCTCTAAGTTGGTCTCATATTCCAATTTCAATGAACTTTCAACCTTAAGGAGTTGGTATAGTAGAAAGCAAGTAAAGACTTTGGGGCCACTAACTCTACTTTGGTGTATTGTTTAACCCCAAGGCTAAACAATGTCGCCTCATGAGCTGCCAAAAATGCATGAAAAAATGACTAGTCTGTCATCAATATGAAGTGTGATGCCTTTGATATTAAAAAAAATAAAAATTTCAATTCAACGATTAAAGCTATAAGTATATTACAGTTCGAAATCAATACTATAATTCTTAGCTAAATAACTCTATACCAAAAAAAAAAAAAAAAAAACAAGTCGGCCTGGTTTTGAAACGGCTAGATTCTAAAATTTTCTCTACATTGCCTTGATGCCAGACAAAACTTTTCAACGGTTATAAAACAAAAAATCATGATTTAACAGTTATTTTAACTCCGATTTTGATGATTTTTTACAGCTACACTCCTTGACCCTATATGAATACAATGAATGAATTCGATTTTCAATTTAAAATATTTACACTAGTGGATACCACAAAATCTTATATTATACTTAATGAAAGTATAAATAAACTCTAAGTGTTAGTGAATCTATCGTTTTGATGAGATACGAATTCTATGAAACTAATTTCAACGATCCAACCGTCAAACTTGTTTGTATATACTTCGAGATCGCATACGCCAAAAATCACAAAAAAACAAACATTCAGAGATCAAGTAATGAGACAAAACTTTTCAACGGTTATAAAACAAAAAATCATGATTTAACGGTTATTTTAACTCCGATTTTGATGATTTTTTACAACTACACTCCTTGACCCTATACAAATACAATGAATGAATTTGATCGTCAATTTAAAATATTTACACAAGTGGATACCACAAAATCTTATGTTATACTTAATGAAAATATAAATAAACTCTAAGTGTTAGTGAATCTATCGTTTTGATGGGATACGAATTCTATGAAACTAATTTTAACGATCCAACCGTCAAACTTGTTTGTATATGCTTCGAGATCGCATATGCCAAAAATCACAAAAAAAAAACATTCAGAGATCAAGTAATGAGACAAAACGTTTCGAAGGTTATAAAACAAAAAATCACGATTTAACGGTTATTTTAACTCTGATTTTGATGATTTTTTACAACTACACTCCTTGACCCTATACGAATACAATGAATGAATTTGATCGTCAATTTAAAATATTTACATAAGTGGATACCACAAAATCTTATGTTATACTTAATGAAAGTATAAATAAACTCTAAGTGTTAGTGAATCTATCATTTTGATGGGATACGAATTCTACGAAACTAATTGTAACGATCAAACCATCAAACTTGTTTGTATATGCTTCGAGATCGCATATGCCAAAAATCACAACAAAAAAAAACATTCAGAGATCAAGTAACGAGACAAAACTTTTCAAAGGTTATAAAACAAAAAATCACGATTTAACGGTTATTTTAACTCCGATTTTGATGATTTTTTACAACTACACTCATTGACCCTATACGAATACAATGAATGAATTTGATCGTCAATTTAAAATATTTACACAAGTGGATACCACAAAATCTTATATTATACTTGATGAAAGTATAGATAAACTTAAGCGTTAGTGAATCTATAGTTTTGATGGGATACGAATTCTATGAAACTAATTTTAACGATCCAACCGTCAAACTTGTTTGTATATGCTTCGAGATCGCATACACCAAATATCACAAAAAACAAACATTCAGAGATCAAGTAATGAGACAAAACTTTTCGATGGTTATAAAACAAAAAATCACGATTTAACGGTTATTTTAACTCTTATTTTGATGATTTTTTACAACTACACTCCTTGACCCTATACGAATGCAATGAATGAATTTGATCGTCAATTTAAAATATTTACACAAGTGGATACCACAAAATCTTATGTAATACTTGATGAAAGTATAAATAAACTCTAAGTGTTAGTGAATCTATCGTTTTGATAGGATATGAATTATATGAAACTAATTTTAACGATCCAACCGTCAAACTTGTTTGTATATGCTTCGAGATCGCATACGCCAAAAATCACAAAAAACAAACATTCAGAGATCAAGTAATGAGACAAAACTTTTCGACGGTTATAAAACAAAAAATCACGATTTAACGGTTATTTTAACTCCGATTTTGATGATTGTTTACAACTACACCACTTGACCCTATACAAATACAATGAATGAATTTGATCGTCAATTTAAAATATTTACACAAGTGGATACCACAAAATCTTATGTTATACTTAATGAAAGTATAAATAAACTCTAAGTGTTAGTGAATTTATCGTTTTATTGGGATACGAATTCTATGAAACTAATTTTAACAATCCAACCATCAAACTTGTTTTTTATTAGGCTCTTATTTTCGACTGTAGATGTAGTACTTAAATGACAAATATGTTTTAATGTTTTGAAGTAATATTTATGTGGTAATGTGTGGTATGTGCAAATTTAAGAAGAAAAAAATATTTTTCTTAACGGGTCATAACAGGTCGGGTCACTTTACCTAACGGGTAAAGTGACCCGACCTGTTAAGGACCTATTAAGATAATATGTGTGACACGATACGACTCGTTAAGATAACAGGTGTTACATGAAAACGACACGAACATGACAGACACGACCCGTTTGCCAGGCCTACTTGATGGTATCATAGAGACGAAATGGTAAACACCATTAGATTTTAAAATTCTCATGGCATGAAAAGCTTGGTTGCCTTGATTATAAGAGCATCCCCAATGGAGACTTTATCCTTCATGAGGCTACCACATTTCTAGCCTTAGTGAGAAATTTCATCCTCAATGTGTGACGACCCGTCCATAATTTTCTTATGTAATTTCTCCCCAAGTATGTTTATTGACTATTATGCCCT